GGGTGGGTTGCCCTCCCCACCCCCCCCAACGAACGGCAACGGAAGGCCGCTGTGCAGGGTGGTGGCGGACGCATGCGGGCGGTGCCGCTGGGACTTTTGGTGGACCTCCTTATAGGGCTACGAAGCGCTGTTCTGGGTGGGTGAAGCGCAGGGAACAAGGGCTGTGCTGGGTGGTGGCGGACGCAAGCGGGCAGTGCCACTGGGACCTTTGGTGGAGCCCCCTATGGGGCCACGTAACGTGCGAGGGGTGTGCCAGAATGGGGTGTGGAACCGCATGCCAGCGCAGCCACTGGGGCCTTCGGTGGAGCTCCCTATGGAGCCACGAAACGTGTGAGGAGGTTTTTGTGCCGAAAGGGCGGCGTGGAACCGCATGAAAGCGCTAGCCACTGCGGCGTCTCGGTGGATCTCCCTATGCGGGCACGAGACGGGTGAGACGGGCGGCGTGCCGAAAAAAGCGGGTGGAACCGCATGCTGAGCGCAGCAACTGGGGCCTTTCGTGGCAGCTTTCTATGCGGCACACGAAAACCGCGTGAGCGGTGTTCGTGCCGAAATCGAGGGGGGCGGGGAGGGGGGAACCGGCATGCGATGGTGCAGCCATGGGGCGTCTCGGTGGAGCTCCCCACGGAGCCACCCACGAAGCGTGTGATGGGTGTGCCGAAATGAGGGGTGGAACCGCATGCGGGCGCAGCCACTGGGGCCTTCGGTGGAGCTCCCCATGGGGCCACGAAACGTGTGAAGGGTGTGCCAGAATGTGGGGTGGAACCGCATGCGGGCGCAGCCACTGGGGCCTTCGGTGGAGCTCCCTATGGAGCCACGAAACGTGTGAAGGGTGTGCCAGAATGAGGGGTGGAACCGCATGCGGGCGCAGCCACTGGGGCCTTCGGTGGAGCTCCCTATGGGGCCACGAAACGTGTGAGGGGTGTGCCAGAATGGGGGGGTGGAACCGCATGCGGGCGCAGCCACTGGGGCCTTCGGTGGAGCTCCCTATGGGGCCACGAAACGTGTGAGGGGTGTGCCAGAATGGGGGGTGGAACCGCATGCGGGCGCAGCCACTGGGGCCTTCGGTGGAGCTCCCTATGGGGCCACGAAACGTGTGAGGGGTTTGCCAGAATGGTGGGTGGAACCGCATGCGGGCGCAGCCACTGGGGCCTTCGGTGGAGCTCCCTATGGGGCCACGAAACGTGTGAGGGGTGTGCCAGAATGGGGGGTGGAACAGCATGCGTGCGCAGCCACTGGGGCCTTCGGTGGAGCTCCCTATGGGGCCACGAAACGTGTGAGGGGTGTGCCAGAATGGGGGGTGGAACCGCATGCGGGCGCAGCCACTGGGCCTTCGGTGGAGCTCCCTATGGGGCCACGAAACGTGTGAGGGGTGTGCCAGAATGGGGGGCGCAAGCCACCGCGGGGCCTTCGGTGGGGCTCCCTATGGGGCCACGAAACGTGTGAGGGGTGTGCTAGAATGGGGGTGGAACCGCATGCGGGCGCAGCCACTGTGGCCTTCGGTGGAGCTCCCGATGGGGCCACGAAGCGTGTGAGGGGTGTGCCAGCATGGGGGGTGGAACCGCATGCGGGCGCAGCCACTGGGGCCTTCGGTGGAGCTCCCGATGGGGCCACAACGAAACGTGTGAGGGTTTAGATGTGCCAGGGGACAACACAAAACGATGTGGGCGTGGAACCGCATTGCGAACGCAGCCCAGACACTCGGGGCCTTCGGTGGAGCTCCCTATGGGGCCACGAAACGTGTGAGGGGTGTGCCAGAATGTGGGCTGGAACCGCATGCGGGCGCAGCCACTCGGGCCTTCGGTGGAGCTCCCTATGAGGCCACGAAACGTGTGAGGGGTGTGCCAGAATTGGGGGTGGAACCGCATGCGGGCGCAGCCACTGGGGCCTTCGGTGGAGCCCCTTTATGGGGCCACGAAACGTGTGAGGGGTGTGCCAGAAAGGGGGGTGGAACCGCATGCGGGCGCAGCCACTGGGGCCTTCGGTGGAGCTCCCTATGGGGCCACGAAGCGTGTGAGGGGTGTGCCAAAATGGGCGTGGGAGGGGGAGGGGGGGGGAGGAGGGGGGGAGGAAGGAGGCGGGAACGCTGGGCACTGTCTTTTCAAAACGAAGACCCAGCACCACAGGATGGTTGGGAAAAATAGGCAAATGAGTTTTTTCCCAACCATCCTGTGGTGTTGGGTCCTCGTTTTGAAGAGACGGTGCCCCGCGTCTCCCTCACTCCTCCTCCTCCTCCCGCTGCCTCCTCCCTCCGCCCTCCTCTCCCTCGCTGCCTCTGCTCGCGGCGCACCCCTCACACGTTTCGTAGCCCCATAGGGGGCTCCACCTAAGGGCCTAGTGGCGCAGTTCGCATGCGTCTCCCCCACCCAGGACAGGGTTTCGTGGCCCCATAGGGAGCTCCACCGAGGGTCCCAGTGGCGCAGTTCGCATGCGTTCCCCCCACCCAGGACAGCGCTTCGTGGCCCCATAGGGAGCCCCACCGAAGGCCACATTGGAGCAGTTC